CTAACAATACTAGTGGAAAGTTGGTTCCCACAGGCTTTCCAAGGGCTGGGAAAGGGCAGGCATAGAGAAGGCCACTGCCTAGATCTGTTCTCTATGACCAGAAAAGCCATTATTTCAGAGTCTTAATTTCAAGCCCCTTTTTTGGACATTCTGAGGGCCTGAGTCTTTCGGAAATAGGCTTCACCAGGGTTCAGCAGATGTGATACAACTTGAATGCACATCAAAATAGGGATATCCCCTATCTCACGGGGAGGCTCCCAAGTGAGAATTCTGCTCTGGAGAGGGTATTCCTGGAGCCAACCCATTTTGAACCCATCTACCTGGACTTACAGTCTCCTCTTCTTCTAGTCTCTGGGAAAAGGCAGGGCACTTACACTTTGCACTCCACTGACCCCACTAAATCCAGCAAGCCTAAATTTAACAGACTTCCTCAGAAAGCTCAGCTGTGCTTATGTTATGAGAATGCTATGATTCTGAGGGCAAGCTTCGAGTATCAAAAGTGTAAAGGACTTTTATGGGAGAATATATTTGTAAATGACATATCCACCAAGGAGTTAATATCCAAAATATATAAAGAACTCACACACCTCAACACCCAAAAAGCAAATAACCTGATTAAAAAATGGGCAGAGGATATGAAGAGACAATTCTCCAAATACAAAATTCAGATGGCCAACAGACACATGAAAAGATGCTCCACATCACTAATCATCAGGGAAATGTAAATTAAAACCACAATGAGATATTACCTCACACCAGTAAGGATGGCCAACATCGAAAAGACTAAGAACAACAAACGCTGGCGAGGATGTAGAGAAAGGGGAACCCTCTTACACTGCTAGTGGGAATGTAAGCTAGTTCAACCATTGTGGAAAGTAATATGGAGGTTCCTCAAAACACTAAAAATAGAAATACCATTTGACCCAGGAATCCCACTCCTTGGAATTTACCCAAAGAATACAACTTTTCAGATTCAAAAAGAAATATGCACCCCTATGTTTATCGTAGCACTTTTTACAATAGCCAAGATATGGAAGCAACCTAAGTGTCCATCAGGAGATGAATGGATAAAGAAGATGTGGTACATATACACAATGGAATACTATTCAGCCATAAGAAAGAAACAAATCCTACCATTTGCAACAACATGGATGGAGCTGGAGGACATTATGCTCTGTGAAATAAGCCCGGCAGAGAAAGACAAGTGCGAAATGATTTCCCTCATTTGTGGAGTATAAGAATGAAGCAATACTGAAGGAACAAAACAGCAGCAGACTCACAGAGTCCAAGAAGGGGCTAGTGGTTACCAAAGAGGGGGTGTAGGAGGGTGGGTAGGGAGGGATGGAGAAGGGGATTGAGGGGTGTTATGTTTAGTACACATGGTGTGGGGGATCACAGGGAAAACAGTGTAGCACAGAGAAGGCAAACAGTGAATCTGTGGCATCTTACTACACTGATGGAGAGTAACTGCATTGGGGAATGGGTGGGGACTTGATAATATGGGTAAATATAGTAACCACATTGTTTTTTCACGTGAAACCTTCATAAGAGTGTATGTCAATAACACCTTAATTTAAAAAAAGAGAAATAAAGGAGAATAAAGAGAAAAAATAAGTGTAAGGGACTTTTAAATCAACTTGGCTTCCATTTCTCCTCTAGTATTTTCCAATTCTGGTAGAAGCCACAGGGAATTAGTTAAGAGAATGGCCTGGGTTTGAATCCATAATTCACCATTTCCTGGCTGTGGAAACTTGGGCAAATGATGTAATCATTTTGTGCCTCAGGATTCTCATCTGCAAAATGGGGCAAATACCAGCACTTACCTCATAGTAATATTATCAGGACAAATTCAGTAAACCCATGTAAAGCACTTAGAGGCATATTTGGCATGTAATAGACACTACATAGGTGTTAGCTCTTCTGGTCAAGTGATAAGGGGATTACACATCTCATCTTGTGCCTTTGGGGAAACTGTTTCTGCCTCACTCCTCCTGGATAGTATGAGACTAGTTAAGGGATTGGTCACCAGCATCAATATGCCATCTAGGAATACCATCAGATTCCAAAGAGCCCCCCTTTCACTTCAGCTACCACATTATTTGGTGTGCTTCCCAATTGTGTCTGTGTTTTTGAGGGATGGGAGAAGTTGAACAACACGAGGGTTTATAACTACCCACATAGGTGGCATGTAAATGGTCATTTTGTCTTCTCCAGGATTGAGGTATTGCCAACCATGTGTCTTTTTGCTGAAAGGCAGGGCTTCTTTAGGCTGCTGTTTCACACCTGTTGTAAGTGACTTTATGGTCCCCAAGAAGATCTTATATCCTAATCTCTAGGGCTGCAATTACATGGCAAAAGAGGTGTTGAAGATGTGATTAAGATTAGTACTGACTTTAAAATAGGAGGACTATCCTGGATTATCCATGTGGGCCTAATGAAATCACACCAGTAAAAGGAGACCCCTTAATAGTAGAGGCAGAAGAGGAAGACAGAGAGATGCAGAAGGGGAAGCAAAAGGACTTGACATGCCACTGTTAGCTTGAAGATGGAGGGTGCCACATGTCAAAAAAATGGGAACCTCAGCCTTACAGTAACAAGGAACTGAATTATGCCAAAAGCCAGTGAGCTTAGAAGAGGATCTTGAGTACCAGATAACAGTTATTTCCCTAGCTGATACTTTTAGTTTAGTGAGACTCTAAGAAGAGAATCTAGCCACACTATACTGAACTTCTGACTTACAGAAACTGTTAAAGAATAGATAGATGTCATTTTAAGGTGCTAAATTTGTAGTCATTTGCTAAAGCAACAATAGAAAACAAATACAATGCTCCTGAGGCTCAGTTTGTACATCTGTCAAATGGGGGCAAAATACCTTGCCTTACCTACCTTATAGGGCTGTTAGGAGGACAAAATAATGGATGTAAGAGTGCTTTGCAGAGCTTCAAGTCATAAGATTTAGTATATTCTCCAACAGGGAAAAAAAATCAGTCTGTTTTGAAGCAACTGAATGGAAGCAATTAAGAACTTAAAACACCTGACATTTCCCAGAAATGCTGAAAGTTTGGAGGGCTGCTTCTCTTCTAGAGAAGTAGTGTGGTATAGATGAAATTAGAAACCCTAGATCCAAGTCTTTTTCCTACCTATGTAACCTTGGTCAAGTTATGTCAGTTCTATGAGTCTCACTAACATGAAGGTAAACATTCCTGTTCTGCCTAGATGATATAGCTGTGTGAGGCTCAACTGAAGCAATGAGTGTGAACATGTGATGGAAACAAAACACCCAGACAGAAGGCCTATTAGTACTCCCCAGTGTGTGCCCTGATGCTGGAAACAGGTATCTTGATTCAGGTCAACTACTCACCAAAAGAAAGTAGAGTTGAATATAACCTCAGGGTGATGCTATGAGGACCTGTTCCTGCCAGTGGCTCTGGTGTGTGGCCTTACACAAGCCCTTTCTCCTCTCTGAGTCTGTTCCTCCATTTTAAGAGGTTAGATTATAGCCAGTTGAAGCTGGCTATAGCCATTATAGCCAGTTATGGGTGTTAGAATCATTGGAGTGATGAGTGGGATTGGGGATGAACAGTTTTTTCTTTTATATAAACCCCTCTTATCCTGAACAAACTATACTGCAAAAGCCCAAGGCAGAGGAGTTTGGATTTTAATTTTATTAGATCATGCAAAGGAGGTCCAATACAGGATACAGAAGTTGATTCTCAAGTATGTGGTTTGAAGCAGCTGGGTCTACTTGTTATACTTTCATGAAAGTACTGGCCAATTCCAAGCTGGTTAACTGGAGTGATGGTCTTCCCAGTTCTTTGAAGTTCCTGTTAATGTTGCTTTGTCATGACTGTGCGGTTTCCTTCTAGAATACCCCTTCTTATGTGAACAGAGGATGCTAAACTAACAGCCAAAGCCCAGCAGAGCTGTCCATGATTCATTATAAAGTAGGCTTAGTAAAACCCAGAGCTGAGAATAATAGACTGCCAAAGCTGGAAAGGCCCTTTTAGACTGCATGATTTATACAGAGTTTGAGACTTGGGGAGAGACAGAGACTTGCTTAGCATTACAGAAAGGCAGAAACAGAGGTTAACCTGGACTTCCAGGGCTCCAGAAAGGAGCTCTTTCACCTGCCCCAGGTTACCTTTTCACTACCTTTAATGCTCAGTTATTTAAAAGTCAAGTAATTTTCAGTCACCTTATTCCCTAGCCATTTTCATTATTCTTTGAAGTGAAAAAACTTTATATGTTATCAAAATACAAGGCGATCTACAAAGCTAGCAGTTATGCTCACAATTTGTAAACACTCCAAACATACTAGATGGCCTTATCTACCATTTTTGGTCTTTGTTTCACCAAGACATTTCCCTCCTCAACTTGCTTTGTTATTTCAAATGCCTTATTTCAGTGTTTCTCAATCTTTAATGTGCACAGAAATCTCCTGGAGATCTTAATAAAATACAGATTTTGTTTCAAGGTGTCTGGAATTGGACATGAGAATCTGCATTTCTAACAAGTGCCCAGGTAATGGTGATGCTGAGGCTGATGATGTACATTTGGAGTAGCAAAACTTGCAGATGTTGTTTGTATCAGTCCCATTTCTAAGCATCTTCTCCTTTTACTGCTGGAATTCCTTTACTAGTGGGGTTAGTGTGGTATATTAGAAACAGGAAGGCCTCTGTAGCTTTCAGTCCTGGAATTTTATCAGTCCATAGCTGTATGTTCTAGGGCAAATCCTTCTCATCTCCCTGAGCCTCAACTTTCCTTATCTGTAAAATGGGGCTATCATTTATCACTCAGCGATGCCATGAGGACTGAGAGAACTACAAGGGTTTGGTGTAAAGTAGACTGCAGATTGAGATTCCTAGGTTCCCAAAAAGATTCTGCCATATATTTCCTTAGAACAGCAGAAGACAACATGAGCAGTGTGTGGTAGCTGCATCCTCATGCCTCATATGCTCAAAGATCATTTCCATGACAAAATTTCAGATAGAGGCCATTAGTACTAGACAGTCTGTATACTTTACTGAAAGTCACAAGAATAGGCGCCAGGATTGCATTCTTTTGTCTGATGTCACATATGTATTTCACATAGGCATTCTTTTTAGTGTCTATTAAATATCCTTGGTATCATGTGCTTCTTTTCCCTATGCAAATAAAGGCTTTTCTCCATCAAAAACATCTCTTCAAGGTATTTTGCTTCCCTCTGCAATTTTTAAATGCTTCTGAAGCTTTTTCTGGGCTTGTAATATGCCAAGGTCAGTTGTCTGCAGTTACATTAAAAATAGTATCATTGAATGAGATTCTCCCAAAGGCAAATTTTTTCTAATCACAGAAATACTTCTTCTGCCATGTGATTTGTTCTAGTTATTACAGAATCAAAGAACTTCTTAAAAAGGGAAGGTTACTTCCCCATGATAGCCACTTATTTTAGGAATACTCTACATGACACTATTTTATTACTAAAATTGGATGCTGATTTTCACCCCTCAGTGGATGGACAACCATCTCCTCACTTTTCATTAAACAAAAACATCAATAATATTTCTTATTTTAAATCATCTCTTAACTTTTTCTATCACCACAGCAAAACTTCACAGGGATTTGATCCCAAGGCATCAAGTACTACAAAGGCACCAAGACCTTTTCCACTTCTCAGACTGCACATGGGGATGTCACTAGTCTCTTCCAGCCCAGATTTTTTCCCCTGTAAACCAGACCTACATACTCTCTTTCCCCTCAAATGCTTGCCTTTTAATATTTTGTTAGGCAGGCAAATAAATCAAAGAGCCGTGGCAGCTCCAGTACTGTGGCTTCTGGGTGGCATAGGGAAAACAGCAGAGGGTACAGAGTCTGAGGGCCTGGACTTGAATCACAGTTCTTTTATATACTTCTTGTGTGACCTTGAGACAGTTACTTTATGCCCTGGGCCATAAATCCTCTATCTTTAAAGTGAATAGCATCTACCTGTATGATTATTATAAATGAGATAATGTATGCAAGGAACTTAGCACTTAGTAGGTGCTTAATAAATGTTAATCACTGTCAATGGAAGATTTACAGTCTTCCATTGCCAGTTTCTCTAACCTGCTGGCTGAAGTATGTAGATACTTTCCTATAGTTGCCACTCTTCAATTATCACCCCTTCCCATAGCCTCTTTCAAATAACTATCCATCCACTAAACTTGGGCCAAGCCAGTCTCATTCCCACAGAAGATTTTGCTCTTTAAGCCAGAGTGTGAAAGGGGAGGTGCTGAGGTTCATTCTTTGGCATTCTTTTTGTATAGCCCAGGGCAGTGTCAAAGCTAGCCAGGCACTCCTTCATGGCCTCCAGCCAGACTGGTGGTCCCAACTCTCTAGGCCAGCCTCTTGATATCGGTCCTAGGATCACACAGCAATCTCATGGCCACATTTCTGGGACACCCACTCCACCGGGATCAAAGCAGCTTTCTCTGGTTCTCAATAATCTTTCAATATTTGTAGTGGTGTTTGTGGTATTCCCCGCACCAAAAACGAAAATTAAAAACAGAGTGAAAAGATATCTGGACCATCTTCAAAGGGACCGAGGCCCCAGTGGCCACTGTTTCTGTGGGAAAAATCTGCACACCTGCTTGCTTTTGTTAGTCATCTAATGGGACAGAGCATAGAGGCCACAGCTCTGAGACCAGTGCTCAATAAGCACATCCTGGGTGAGGCCAACAGCCTCACAGAGGCTACCTTTGGGGGTGAGCAGCAAGTAGAATGGTGGTCACTTGACTCCTGGTTCCTTAGCAACTTGGCCTTTGAAACTGGGTAGAGCTGAGAAAGTGGTGTGGCCAGCTGGGCATGTCTTCATTGCGAATGGCATCACATTTTCACTCAGTTGTTTCCACAAAGGCTCTCAGTATGTTTAGCCTACATGTTATTAACTCACCAAGCGACCATGCTTAGACTTCAATCTTGAAAGTGACAATTGCCTTTCCATAACACTGTCCCAAAGGCATCTCAGAGTTGGTTTAGTTATGCGTACATTCTCTGTCTCTCGCTCTCTCTTCCCCTTCTTCCATTCTCCATCTCTTTACGGTCTCCTTTACCTCCCCCTCACCAACCAAGTCTATACTTCTCAGTACTAGAGTCAGTATACTAGCAGGGCCTTACTAGAAGGGTCTAAGTAGGAAAGCCCTTTCTCCCACACATTATAATTACACAGACACTAAAGACAGGCTATGGCCCAGGCCTCTGCATAGGACCACAATGACAGTTTCTCCAGCAGCTTCCCTTCAACAAACAAAAATCAGAAATATCTACTGCTCAGACTTCTCACTATACCAATTGCACTCTTGTTCCTTTCAATGATGGAGATGGAAAATGAGGAACACCAGAAGGTTATGCCTGCAAGTTTTCCACTTAGTGGTAAATACGTGGGGCTCAAGAAAGAGGGTAAAAACCAAACCCCAAAATGTGGACCACTGAAGCCAGCAATAATAAGGTCTCTTACTAGATGAGTGTGGTGTAAAAGAAAGAACCTTGCATAGTTGCTCAGGGGCCTGGGATCTCATTTGGGCATGGCTGCTAACTTGCTCTCCCTCAGTTTCCCCAATGGTAAACTAAGCAGTTAGATTAAATGATTTTGAAAGGCCCTTCTAATCAAATACTTTATGGGTTATAAAAAGTGTTTCATCTCGAGGGCCATGGTTCTTAAACTTTATTGGGTCACAGGCCCATTTAAAAGTCAGAAAAATGTTATGGACCACCTTCCCAGAAAAGGCACATTGTTGTTTAATTCTGCATACCATTTCAGAAGCTTCATGAAGTTCCTGAATCCATGAACACTAGGTTATGAACTGCTTCTTTCAGGAGATAAAGAACGTATCTGCAGAAGGCAAACATGAAGCAACAGTGGTAGCTGCCTGGCCTCAATCTACCTTAACAATTTTTCCCATCAATTGACCAAAAAATGGAAATCCTGCAGGACACAGTCTGCCTTTTTTAAAGAACTGTTTTCAGCTTTTGTTTTATTCTTGATTGCTTGGAAAGGAAGCTGTCAGGAGAAATCAAGATGGAGAATAATCAACAGACCTGCAAAAACAGGTCTTCAAAATGCAAAACATGCTTTGTAGACCTGTCCTAAGCAGCTGTTATGCAAGAGAAGGAAGGTCAGCTTCCTGAGTCTCCTTGGAGCAGACAGGTTCTTGGCAATATATTGCAGTGCCAGAGCTTCAACCTGGCACCAGGGACCTTATCCTCAGTAAGAGACATGTTAAGATTCTCCAATGTTCAGCAAACATTCCTATGCCCCTACTTCCAAGGTAAGCAATGGCCCCAACTCAAGTAGCTTTTAGTTCAGGATAAAACCTCTGAGATCAGTCATTAGCCCCAAATCTGTCAGAGTTCAATGGCCTTTCGAATAGGAAGGAAGTTCAGAGAAGATTTGAAGACTGAGCTCCCCTCTTCAACTCAGGTGGGTGGATAACTTGGTTTCTGCAGAGTCTGGCTTGAGGGAGGTTCAGCCATTCAGTCTTACAGGAGCTCAAGACAGACCTTCTGAGGGGATGAAGACAGAATACAAAGGAGAAATAAACCTGTATCTAGGATGTGTGCCTCTTATTTTATAGCATCTGAGAACCTGAAGGTGCAGGGCCAGTAAGGAGCTGCTCTTCAGAACAAAATAACTCAGCACACAGGGGTTTTAAGAAAATCCTTAAAGAACCTAGAAAGGGTTTCCTGAGGCCAAGTCTTTTAAAACCTGAAAGGTAAAGAAGAAAGGAGGAAATTAGCTAGGACTGTTCAAGCACTTAAGAGTCACCGAACAGTGGGGCCTCTCTTAGGTCGCTAACTATACAATTGGTAGCTAATCTTCTGAGCAATAGGGGCTGGCTAGGAAAAGGACTTCACAACTCAGATCCCATGAAACAGGTTTAAGATGATGCTATAATCAGGGCTGGAAACTGTGCACTTTTGGCCTCAACTCTAATCCCCAAAGCATCTACAGGGGATGCAGAAACCTAATACCTATGAGATTATCCCCCTGCAGCATGGCCACTGCCATTATGGCCCTACAATAACTCCAAACGTCTTTTCACTGGGACTTTACCTCTAAGAGGGCTGATAAGGAAGAGTTTGTATACCTATGGACCTCTGAGGCCCGGCCATGACAGGAAGAAAAGGAAGGTGGCAGAACGCATGGAAAGCTCTTCTCCAGATACCTGGATCTCATTATGTGCATATTGGTTCATGTCATGCCAGAAGTCTGAAAGTCAAAACCTCAGAACTCCTGAGAAAGGAAGTTCTAAGATTTCCATGACTCCTGTGACCTTAGCAAGTCACTTACACCCTCTGAACCTCAGTTCCTTTATTTGTTGGCTTGAAATACTTATTATCCTCCCTATTTCTGGCATTTGATTTGGACCAAACGAGATAATGGATGTGAAAGTGTTTTGCATTAGACAAATATAAAGGACTAAGGAAGAAGATTCAGGGGTGTAAGACTGAAATAGTGATTTGGTCTGAAGGAATGAAGTTCCTCTACACATTACTAAAGTAGACTCTTGGTACCTGCTGTAACACCAAAAGAGAGGTTACTGATCCTCTCATAGACCCAAAGGATGTCAGAGTTAAAAGGTCCCCATCTTTTCATTTTATAGTTTGGGAAATTAAGGTTCAGAGTAGGGAATGTACTTGTCCAAAATGTAACAGCCTAAGACTCCTAATGAATTTGATTCAAAGGCAATTTGTAAAACTATATTGTAGTTTGGATGGGAGAGAAAGAAAGAGGGGAAGGAGGCAAAAACACAGAGAACCTCAGAATTGGAAGGTAGAAAGTTTAAGAGTCATGTAATTATAGCATAATGAACTGAAGCACAGAGGGGAATTCCCATTCTCAGGACCTACATGGTATTCCACTCCTTAAAAACGCAGATCCCATAAGAAGGCTTTTATATACAACATTTTGAAATCAGAGATGGCAACTACATACCTGAGGCCTCAACTCTCATCTCCAGGAAGTCTGCCTTGAGAACTGTGGGTAAAGGAAGAAAGAAATTTCACTAAGACTCTAGAAATCAGAACTAAAAAAGCAAAGCAAGGGGACAGGTGACCCTTCCAGGCCAGTACTAAAGAGACCATTTGGAAAATGCGTAAATAATATCATCCATCTGTTTCAAAGCATCTAACTCCATGCTTATAGGTTGGGCTACTTTTCTGGCAGGTTAGACACAAAGACATATTTCAGGGCACAGAACAATTTTTTGAATGCCAGACTATAGGAGCCTAGGAGAGCCCAGAAAAATTGGTCCAGGACCAAAGACTACATTCTGTGATTATCTTTAATTAGGAAAAGGGCAAGGAGGGAGAGCATGGTAAACATGAATCCTCCTTTGCCTTGAAGACCAAACCAACCTTGCCCAACTTCTTGATGTGCTTTGATAAGTCCTAAATTAGCCTTGTCTGGTAAAAGCTGGAGGGAAGACACAATCCTGGAGAACCAAGTCTCATATGGTATGGCCAGAATATCCCAGACACCAGCTGGTCTCAGAGCTATATGCTCAGCACTGTTTTTCACTTCTTTCTGAACTGTATTTACACCTACTTCTTGTGTGATCTGATTTCTTGTCTGAAAAGTTCTACTGGACTCTATTCATTCCTCTTACGTATTCCTTCTCAATGCCTTGGTTCCGTGTCCAAGGTTACAGATAAAACTTTCATATTTTTTGGTGTATTTCTACTCATTTTTCAAGCTGCAGCTCAGATATAACCTCCTCTAAAAAGGTTTCCTTTAGATACACCCAGTTCATTCTGTTAATTCTAGTTTACTTCATTCCATTTCCTTGGTGTTTATTTCTCGTACAGCTTATCCTAGGGAGGGAAAGAGGACCACCAGGAAGTATGAAGTAGTCTTGCTCAATTAATTAGCTCCTTAATTAACAGCATTGGGTTCTCTTTCTCTTTGTTTTTATGTTTTTTTCTCGATGTGGATATTTGATTAAGCCTGCTTTAAAAACATCCTAGATGGAAACTTTATCTTCACTCTATCAGCATGAAAAATCTGGGGCCTTGACCTTTACTTTCATCTCTTATGGTACAGTAAATGGTAAATTATGGTCTAAGGAGAATTTGGCCTCATATGGGCCTCCCTGTAGCTGGCAGCAAAGCAGAAATAGGGTGGCCTGCTATGCAGAATTATGTTCTGGTGAGTCAGGCCCCATAGTTTTGACTAGATGATGTCAAACTTACCCCAACTCCACTACTGGTAACAGTGAATTGTTCTGCTTTTAACTGACCACCTAGAAGATTTATACTCCTGTCATCCATCAGGAAGCACAATTTCAAATTCTCTGATAGTCAGCATGGAGGAAACTCATAGAAGACTCCTTAAAGCCTCAGCAACCATCCTTCAGGTGTTCTAGTCTAAAGGGTCCCAAATGATAGGCCTTGGACAGTCTGTACCAGCACCTGAGTTTAAAAACTAACTGGCAGCAAGGTAGGAAGGAAGGAGGGAAAAAGAGAGGGAGGGAGGGAGGGAGGGAAGGAAGGAAGGAAAACAAAACAAAAAAACATATTCCTAAGTCTTATCCCTGAAGTTTCTGTCTTACTGGGTCTAGAGTGAAAGGTAGGAATCTTCGTCCTTTCTTTCCTCAAAATTTTCTAGGTGATTTATATGTTCAGCCAATTTGAGAACAGTCATCTAAGTCTAATTTTACCTCTGAAATAAGACTATATTTATTCTAAGGCTGTTTATGTTACAGTTGCCCTTTTAAAGTAGAACAGAGTCTAAATAAGGAAATTAACCAAAAATAAGACCTATGGTGAGCATTGAGATTTTGCAATACTACTTGGCATGTGAGTCCTGTGTGTGTGCACGTGTGTGTGTGTGTGTGTGTGTGTGTGTGTGTGTGTAGAAGAGAGAGTGAGAGAGAGAGGAGCAGAGAGAGAAAGAGATGGAGAAAAAGGTAAAAAGGCAAAGAGACAAAAGATACGAAGATAAAGAAAGAGACATGGGGAGAGAGAGAGAGGAAAAGAATCAAAGAAAGAAATAGGGAAGCAGAGAGACAAAGACAGAAATGGAGACATAAGTAGGAAAACACAAAGACAGAGGCAGTAGACTGAAAATGATAGACATAAAGAATCAGTGTGAGAGAGACAAATAGAGAGACAGAGTGACAAAGACAGAGAGACAAAGAGGTCAGAAAAAAAGAGACACAGGGCAAGAGACAGAGAGACAGAATTGGGGGAGAGAAAGGGACAAACGGAGAAACACACACAAAGAAACAGAGACAGAGCTAAAGAGAAACAGTAAAAGAATATAAGAAAGTAAACAAAATGCCTGTGACACATTTAGTAAAAAGTTATCTGGTTTTTCTTCTGTCATCTATGTCTCTTACCTTCCTGTTTTCCGGGAAGCTGTTTCAAAGAACCTGGTCCTGGAAGCCACCCTACAAACAGAAGCCAAACAAGTCCCATTAATTGCTCGGGAATATGAATGAGAAGCAACGGCCAACAGAAAGGACAAGAGAATATGAACCAGATGGACCAGCAAAGTCAGGCTCTGCCTTAGCTTGCAAATGACCTGTGTCTGAGGAAAAACCTGTGTCAGACTGTGAAATGGCTCAGAGACTATAGGCATCCCAATGCTATGGCTGATGCCCTTTATTTCCCATTGTTTCAGAATAGTCTAAGTATATTGTCCTTCCTGGCTATTCTTGGAAGAAACGGTTGAAACAAGTCCTTGGTTTCAAAGTATAGTTTTTGGCATTTTGTAAATACACCTAGCTAATTAGTCAAAATGGGAGAGGCTTTGTTTTTGTTTCCCCCATTTTACAATTATGGAAAACAAGACACAAGAGAAAGGAACACCAGGATGCAGTATACTGAGAGGGGTCCCAGCCACTGGCTGAGGAGAGGCCAACCAAGCTAGCTGTGGCCAAGCAAGGCTGGTCCCTGCGGGCTGCTCTGACCCCACCGTAGCATCTCTATCTCTGGTTCCTTGGCTTGTATCATAGTCTCAGGAAGGCCTACTGGATGCCAGCTTACCTCCTACCCTGAAAGAGGCTCCCTGGGAATCTGAATTATTTTGGAAGATCTTTAAAAAATCATACCGTTGCTTTAAAAAAAAGCATCAAGACGTAAGTACAATGAATAAATCTTAAATTCATTAAATTACTTTTAAAATCAGTAGCAATAACAAGGCAGTAAGAAAAATTTACAGAGCCAAGGCAACATGAAAACAGAGAGTAATCTTATCACCCTACAGAGATTAGGGCAGCTAAGAAAAATTGGTTTCCTACTAGGCACTAAGGCTCAAACTTTTCAGCTGCAGGGAAATCTCTCAGGCTTGAGTGTTGAGTGGAACATTCCAAACAGGACTGGTCTGTGACATTTTTCTAGGCCATGAAGTGAAGGATGCCTTAGGGTTGTTCACTGTACATCCTTGACAACCACAGTGGTGATGCTGAAAGTATTCCTGGTGGCCTAAGGTGGGCCTTAGGTTAAAGTTGAGAAACTATCCTACTTACACAGATGATGGGATTTCCCCTGCATTTCCAGCCTCAATATCTGACTTTGGTTCTGGTTTCTGGGGAGTAGCTACCCGACAGGGAGGGTCTGGAGGCCTCACTGGGGGACGGATGATGGTTGGCTTTTCTGCCAGAGGCTGCACTTTGCTGAAACTGTCAGTGTCTCCTGGAAGAGAGAACATCATCGAGGACTTAGGTGATTAGCCAAACCTCCCTTGGCCCCCATTTCTTTTTGGTAACTAATAACTCTGTACTTTTTTAAAATTCTTCCAGTAGCTATCCCTTCAGAAAGTCTATGTTTGAACCCCAGCTCTAGAATGTTATATTTGTTTGACCTAGGGTATGTCACATCAATTTGTGAAGCCTCATTTTCCTCATCTATATAATCAAGACCAATGATACATTATCTACAGAGATACTGAAAAGATTTAATTAGGTACTAATATGTTTAATACAGGCCTGGCACGTAGTAGGTACTTAGTGAATGTCTGATGATGAATTTGAATTTGTTAAATTCATCATCACCAAAATTCAGGGCCCTTTTCACTTAGGCCTTGACTATCATAGCAGTCTCCTAACTTGCCTTCCTGCCTTGATGTCTCTAGCTTCCAGGTCAGTCAGTACAAAATAAATACACACTTTTTTAATAAAATGTTTATGCCAGGTATATGGTGAAACAGATACACTCGCACATTGCTGGTAGTACTATGTACTGGGCTTATTCTACCTAGACAGCCATCAAGAATTCTGGCACAATGTGGATAAAATGAAAAATTATACATATGAGACAGTTTATACTTTTTGATCCAGTTGATCAACTTTGGGGAACAGGCCCAAAGGAATTAATTCAAAAGGAAAAAAAATAAGAAAAACAACTGGTATAAAAACATGTTTCTTAACAGCAAAAAATCAGACCAACCACAAAGGCTAACCCAACAATTCGATTCTTATAATTATTTAACCAATATGTATTATGCATATACTTAGATGGATTTGGGCCAGGCCAAAAAAATATGTGCATATAACATAATATTAAACTGAAATAAATCCACTAAAAATGCTCATGCCTAATGAACGGCATATGGAAAAAGACATATGTGCAACTATGCAAGGGTGTTAAAAGATCATGATACTCAATTTTTGTTAATAAATCTTGATGCTCATTAAGTTTTCTTCTATAAAAATTTGAAGGTAAATATAAAAATATATTAAATTTAATCCATATAATACTGTTGTAAAGTTTACCTTGAGTATTTTCATACTGTTTTTCTTCTATTTAAAGATATTCTAAGTGGCTATAAAATGTACAGGATAAAGTTCAAACTCTTTAACATAACTTCAGGCCCAACTCTGAGCTGTCCCCAAATTATTATCCTAGGCACTAACTCTAGACTTTAACTATCAGCTCTTCTCTAGTCAAACTGGTCTCCTTGCTACCATTATCAAAACAAGTCCTTGACTCTAGATGAGACAGTATGGTATAGTGGGAAGTACAAAAGGTCTGGACTTACGTAGACATGGCTTTGAGGCCTTGTTCTGCAACTTCCAAGCTGTGGGACCCTGTGTGGTTATTTCATCTCTTTGACTATCAATTTCTTCATCTGGGAAATGGTATAATAACCTCTCCTGACAAGGTGGTTGTAAGGACTAAACTAGATGGTCTATAGAGAGTGCCTAGCACACAGCAAGGGTAAGTATTAGATTCTGTCCTGCCTCCTGCTCAATATATGCTCAGTTCTCATATCTTATCCGTATTTTAACCAGCCTTCAATGCTCAGCTCAAATCTCAACCCTCCGAACACTCTAGCTGGCATAGGTACTTTCTGTCCATGTAAATGTCCATCAAGTGTTTATATATTGCCATGTGGGTTTAATTCCTTCAGCTGGTCATTCTGGCAATGGAGACAAGTATGAAAAGAAATAATGCTAATCAGTGTGGTTGGTGTTCTACTGAAGGAATAAACCAAGCACTATTCATGTATACATATATAAATTCTGTTTCCCTATCTAGACTCTATCTTACATTTCTAGACATGCCATTCCCCTAAGCACCAGGCTGGGTACACAGAATTATAGCTGAAAAAAATGACCAAAATTATAGTAATTATCTGCTTTTTCCAACACACTTTATACTTTTCAAAGCACTCCTCCAGATAACTGTATGAGTTTCACAATGACCTTGGGAGGGAAGAATAGATGGGTCTTACTGTCTCCATTTTATACAGAAGGAAACTGAGGCTCAGAAAGGTGAACTGACTCACCTGCAAGCAAATAGGTATGTGGTAGAGTGAGGATTGAAAACCATGTCTCCTCTTTCTGTATCTACTGTTCTTCCCAATATTTGCTGTCTTGTTATTATTAGTAATATGAATTATAAATGATAATAATGGTAATAAAACAACTGGTAAAAATTTTAGCTATGTTTCTATTGAATAACTTCTCTATTTCAGGTACTGTAATACTGTATTCAGTATTTTATGTATATAGTCTCATGTAATGTTGGCCATAACCCTGCAAGGTAGAAAGTTTTATCCCTGTTCCACAGTTGAGGAAACAGAAATGCAAAGATGAGAAATAACCTCATAGTGAGTTGGCAATAGATTCAGGTCTATCTGACTTCTGAAGCTCAGGTAGTCCCAAGTACCAGTGGCTTTCAACCCTGGCTACAAATTGAAGCATTAAAATCATACAGTACCTGGGCCCTATCCCCTGAGATCCTAGTCTTAATTGGAATAGGACCTGCTTACTGCAGATCACAGATTATCAGAGCTGACAATACTATTCCATTTCTACTGGTTACTGTAGAGGGTGTTGGATAGGAAGCACATGCTGCAGTCAGAGCCAGAAAACATTTCTACCTGAAGCTGTATCTATCCCAGGGCTATCACTTCCCTTACTGAGAGAACAAGATGACACCTCCTGCAATATGTATGCCATTCCTCCCCAAGTTACAGCCACATCCAAATGGATATCAACCCAAGATCTTGGAAAACTCCTAGATCCGTTTTTAGCCTTGTATTTTCTTAGGCTCCTTAATGGTAGTCCCGGCTTGATGATTCATTGCAAGTCAAACTTTGAAGTAGCATAAAAGGGCTTTCTTGGTTTAAAGACCCCAATGTTGTTCTCTCCTGCCTCTAGTTTGACACAGTAAAGCCACAGTGTCAAATTTAAGAGACAGGTATGAAGGAGTAACATAACTTGAAATCAAGGGACCTAGACTCCAGTCTTAATGCAAAAAACTAATTTGCTGTGTGACCTTGATCAGATCACTTCCCTACCTATACAATGTGGACTTGGGCTTGCTTTCCAGAACAGTGGGTCCATGATATAAGTCTACAGACCTATATTTCTCCCTGCTGACTTTTGGAGTCAGCTTTTGGAGTACTCTAGAAGCCAGTTCTTGTCACTACTTAACCAGCTTGAAAAAAATCTCTTCATAGATACATTGAGGTCTAGGTCTAGGTCTAGATTTAGATTTTAGATTTCAAATTCATAATAATAGTACTTACTGCCTGCAGAGTAAACTCAAACATTTTAAACCTGGAATTTACTACTCTCTTCAATTTGGCTTCAACTGATCTTTTTTATCTATCTTTCCACCATTCCTTTTCACATATCCTACAGTCCACACAAACAGTATTATTTGTTGTTCCATATTCATGTCTTATAATTAATCATCTCTTTCCCAGATGCCCTTTACCCTATTCCCACGTGCCCAAATTTCATCATCCAGCAAGACTTAACTTAAGTGCCATATCTGCTAGGAAGCCTAAGATACTCCAAGTTCCTTTCTCTGACTCTTAAGGCACTAACATCTTGTACTTTGAATCAGGGCTTTTTGTTTCGGTGACTCCAACTCCTCTCTTAGAGTGGAAGCAACTTGAGAGCAAGATCCAGGTGAGAGTCACCTCTGTATTCAC